CCCCCCCCCCCCCCCCGTTTTTATATCATGGCTAGAAGGCCAATCTTCCACCAGCCAAAGAACAAATAATTTCAGGAAGCTTGCTAAGACTTATCTCCATTCTCAGAAAAAACACTCTGTTACAAAGCTGTTGCAAGCCCTCAGTGGTTCTCTTTGCATTCACTTAGACAGACTGTTTTAAAGAATTGGAAAAAATAGGAATGAATAGGCAATTTTTATATTATAATTTATAATAGAGGGATGTGAGAAATGGAGTGTGCAGGCACTGATGTTGGGAATGGTATGTTTTAATTTATTAATGTATGTTCTGGAGACAGAGATAAACCAGGAGATAGTCAAGTTGCTGATGACATCAGATAATTTGCAGTTTATCATAATGTTCTTCTATAAATCAAAGGTGAGATCATAGTTGGAATACTGTGCATATTTCTGATCACAAACCTCAAAATGGGTGTTATATTGCTAGAAAGGTGGTGGGGAATAACCAGAATGAGGAGGAGGATAACAGTAACGCCCTTATTTAGAAAGACTACAGTCATTGGGACTTTTTAGTTTAGAGAGAAAGTAGGTAAACAGAAAAATAATTAGAGATATATTGTATAAAATAATGGATGCCACAGAAAATAGAAATAAGTTTTTCTCCTGTACCACAGTGTAGGATTTCAGGCAATTCAGGACAGGTAAAAGAAACTACTTGGACAATATATCATTCAATTGTGGATTTTTGCTATCATCAGATGTGGTGATGACAACCAAATTTAGTGGTTTTAAAATAAAACTGGACAGATTCATGAAGAATCCAGCCATTAGGAGTTTCCTGGATCAAAGTGGCCATCCAGGGGATTGAGAACATAAGAAGAAGGATATGCTGGAATACAACCTGAATACATGAGATGGGTCACTGGGGACACAGAAGGCTGGTTTACAACAGTGTTTCCTAACTGTGGCAACTTCCAGGTGTGTGGACCAATGAGTTGTCACAGTTAAGAAACACTGCTCTAGAGTCGTCTTTGATCTAATCCCACTACAGGGTTCTTATTCTAACTGGCAGTCAGTCCATTAGTGAGGCTTGAGGATGAATGGATGGAGATAGGCTGATAGAGATAGATAGATATGATGGATGGATGGATGGATGGATGGATGGATGGATGGATGGATGGATGGATGGATGGATGGATAATAGAATAATAGAATAATCAAGAGAATATCTGT